TTACACTCTAAAGTGAGACAACGAGCATCCACGACCTTTTCATGATGGTATCTGCCATGGATGGAATGCTGTTATACTGCACTTAAAGCCTGTGAAGAGCCTTGGTCTCCCTTAAATTCTGGAACTAATTGTTTTTTGTAGATCCACATTTATCCTGTACCAGAAAACCATTCAGCTGCTAACACCTCCGCAATAGGTCCAAGTGTGTGTCATGCTTGTAACGAGTCATATCATGCCCTTGACGCAGCTTACAAGAAAATTGCTGCATCTGACTCTAAAGAATTCAGTGTTTGTGCTGATGTATCTGCCTCTGTAAGTATGTAAGCTAATGTACATGCAGAACTGCAGCCTATAAGCCGCCAAATTATTTTACTGAATTCCAGTAATCAAGTATGAGTACCATGACTACAGGTACATGACGATTCTTCACAGCTGTAAAATGGCTGACTGATTTTGACTGAAAATAGGAAGTCCTAGATATAGTAGTTGTTCTGTATTCACATAATTTTGTTACTTGCGTGAAGGGAGTGGACGGAATTAGTCAGTCTCCTTTTCAGGAAGTAAAGAAAAAGCAAAGTGCAAAAGTATGTGAGGGAACCAGAAGAGAGAGGTTCTGAATAACTTTGTCAAGCACTGTATTTCATTAAGCAGGTGTAACAAGATGGTAAATGGACCAAACATCAGGTGTTACTTTGTGTTACATTACTTATTGTGGCATGTACCAGTGGTGTCCCTATGCGTGTTACAAGTTCGACTGAGTAAAATGACCACTGACAACACTGACAACATTCTGCAAATAACTACAGTCATGTACCTTGTTGTGGTGAGCTTCTTTTCAGGGTAGTGGGAGGTGTGGTGTGGAGATCCTGTTCTAAAGATAAAAAATAACGAGTTAAAAACCTGGGGGGACTCCCACATAAAAAAAAAAAAACAGGGGCGCTTGTCGTATGCTTTAGGGGTTAAAAAAGTGGGTTTGGTTCCTCTTAGGGTATTCAGCCTCAAAAGGTTCACAGCAGGAGCTTTTGCAGTACCTTTTTAGGGTGTTGAGCCAAAAAAGAATATAACAGAAGATATTAAATGTGTTGTTTTCAAATTGGTACC